AATGGCCTCTAAGTATTCAATTAAAAGAAAGAGTTGCATGTATCTGAATTGAAATTAAAAGCTAAAAATAATTTAGTGAGGAAGGCTAAATGATTAAGTCAGAAGTTGAGAAAGGCCAAAATCTAGGCTTCTTGTGCCAATCAGTTAACCAAGTTGTGAATGCAGAGGGGAGTTTTTGAATGAAATTAAAAGCACACACAAATGATAAGAAAGCAAAACGGCCTTATTGCTGTTAGGGTGAAAGTTTTACTGTTCTGGATAAACCTGCTACAACCTTCCATTAAGCCGAAGCCTAATCTGGGGGCAGGCACTTACTGTGAAATTGAGAGGGGTGAGGAAGCCACAGAAGGCAAGTTGCAAGCTAGAACTGATGGGTTCATGATGTTTTAGCAAAGAAGCTGCCTTTATAACAACATAAAAGTGCAAAGTGAGGCACCAAGTGCCGACAGAGAAGCTACCTCATGGTATTGAGAAGAATCAAATAGGTGCTCTCTCTGAGATGCACCTGTACTGCTTTTTTTTTTATGTTATAATGCTGCTCAATGTAGCTTGTATCCACTGAAGTCCTACCTCAGGAACCTGATAAGTTGTTGATGTGTGGTTTTTAATATACAGATGTCTATGATTACATCCTTTTTCTGCAAGTCATGTAATCAGATAATTATAGGGAAAAAAGCATTGCTACGTAACATTACATTCTGAGGTGTCCTAGTAACTGAGCATTTTCATTTTGTGGTGAAGATTTTACTCAGAATACAACATCGAAAGAGCACATGGTTGCTCAGTTGCCAGGATTTTTGCAACTGGTTTAGAGGTTTGCTCCCCACCCATATAACCATTCATATTTAGGAGGGTATTTCAGCCCATAACCATTTTGCAGTTTGATTTTAAAGTAGAAATAGACTCATAGGTACAGAGAACTAATGGTTGCCAGATGATAAGGAGATCAGAGGATGGGTGAAAATGTAAAGAGGAATAAAATGTTCAAAATTTCAGTTATTAGTCACAGGAATGCAATGCACAGCATAGGAAACATAGTCAATTATATCATAAGACTCTGTATTTACCTATAAAGGTGACAAATGGTTGGTTACTGCACTTCTTGTGGTGATAACATAGTAAGGGATATAAACATCAAATCATTATATTGTACACTTAAAACTAATATTGTATGTCAACTATACTTAAGTAAAAAATAGCTCTGGCTGGTGTAGCTCAGTGGATTGAGCACGGGCCTGTGAAGCAAAGAGTCACTGGTTGGATTCCCAGTCAGGGCACAAGCCTGGGTTGCAGGCCAGTTCCCAGGAGGGGACTCATGAGAGGCAACCACACAGTGATATTTCCCTCCCTCTCTCCTTCCCTTCCCCTCTAAAGATAAATAAATAAAATCTTTGAAAAAAATAGATAAATGTGAGAAAATATACTAGCAGTTAATGGGACAATTAATTCATGTGATAAATTCATTTAGAATTTGTTTTTCATTAATTCTATACATATTAAAAGGTTATTTGATTTCAAGTAGATAATAAGGCACTAGGAAAGAAAAGATAAATAAGATATTGCTCCTATCTTCACTGACTTCTTGTGGGGGAAACCTCTCCTCGGGGGTGCCCCCAGTTCCACGGACATGCGTGAATGAATATTTATGGCTGAGAGATGATGAGATCTGTTTCGGATGGAGGAGTGGGCTGTGGCCGGTTTCTCTGAGGAGAAAAAGGCCCCGAGCCTCTTTCTCCATAGCCTTTTATTGGGTTGTAATACACAGGAATACAAGGCGACAAGGATCAAACAGTAGATAACATTACAAAGAGATCTGAGTCAGTGTCTGTCAGGAAGAGAGTTGCAGAAATTTTGGGAGACATACTCATTTCCTCTGGGACCCTTATCATGTGAATGAAAGCCCTCTTAGCAGAGCAGATTTCACAGGTTAATCAGCAAGTCTTTGTGATGCCAAATTTTTCCCCAGGACATGCTCTAGGGAGGCAAGGAGCTGCACCTCTCCCCAAAAGGTATTCAGGCTTAAAGGGATTAGAGCCAGGAAGCATTTCTCCCAGAGAACATGGGGACTGGGCTTTGACAAAGCCAGGGGGCAAGAGCCCATTGCTCTTTGTTGCAGTCCCCTGAATCCTTCCAGGAAGGCCTCCCAGGTGATCGAGTCTGGCTTAGGTTGCCCCCCGCTGTGAGGGGTCTTACCCATCTTTGACTTCTGACCAAGCTTTGGGGGCAGGAAGAGGAACTGAGGCAGCATTTGCTACCAGAGACAGGCTTTGTCTCCTGCGGCTGGCATTCCAAAGGTCGTCTCTTGCCCTTAGCCACAGGGGTAGAGATACAATTCCTAAAATCAGGCAGAGCGGTCTACAACAACTTCTTCATTATTTCTGTTTGCCTATGTTTGCATCTTTCTTTTATAGTCAGAAACATAAGAGTTTCATACGCTTCATAAAATATTATTACCTTCAGTTTTCTAGATCTCTATTCTTTCTTAATCATTTGGCAATTCTGTGTTCAACATCCAGAAAAATTGTCCATAGTCTGCAAACTTTGAAAAAGCACATTCTGAGTAAAATCACACAGACTGTTTTCCCAGTTTTGCTCCCTGGCAAACACTGGGGGCTTCTCGGCTCTGGGGACCCTCTGCCCCGGGCTGTCATTGCTCTGCCATTGTGTTCAGCCCTCCGTCTCAGTTTCCCTATTCCTCTTGCCTAGGAACTTTCCTAGCCTCCCACTACCCTGACTCATGACTGCTATTAACATTATGCTTGCTCAATGTCCAACATTGTGTTTGGAGCAGAGTGCAGAACAAGGGTCTAAAACACACATCCTGACTTCAAGAAGTTTACTTGGGATGTTACCTACCCAGATAACAGAAAGTCAATTCCAGCTTTGTTGCCAGTACTTAATGATCTGCCTGGGGCTCATCAGGAGAACTATTTGAGATCTCCAATTGTGTACATGCTAAGTATTAGAAATGGAAAATACACTTGCAGAGAAGAGATGATAATTGATGCTAACATGGAGGATTAAGAAGCTTGTTGGAGAATGGCTTGAAAAGCTGGAGATGAAAATAACTTGTTTGCAACTGGTATAAAAATCAACTATATATCTATCAGTGTGCATGTATTAATTTTTTAGTATCAGGAAAAAACCTAGTGTATCAGTCACGGTTGTCCATAGGGCATATGATCCAATAGAGAGAGAGCAACAAGAGGAAGTGAAATTGTTTTAGGGTAAGGAATTGGATCACAAGATTCAGAAGGCTGACAAGTCCCAAGCTGCACTGTCAGAAAGTAGGAAATCTCGAAGAGTAGATGGTATAGATTCAACCCCAAGGCCAGCAGGCCAGAGACCCAGGAAGAGCCATTATATCTATTTCAGTGCGAAGCCAGAAAAAAAATGATTTCCTAGATCAGGGGTGTCAAACTCATTCTCACCAAGGGGCCATATCAGCCTTGCAGTTGCCTTCCAAGAGCTGAATGTAACTTTACGACTGTGTAAATGTAACTGCTCCTTAACTAAGGGCAAGGAGCTCAGTGCTGCCGCTGAGTAGAAACAAGGTGCTGGACCCAATAAAACAAGGTGGGGGGCCTTGTGTTTGCCACCTGTGTCCTAGATTGAAGGCAGCCAGACTGGAGGAATGCTCTTATACTGAGGGAAGTGCCAGCCTTCTGTTTCCTGAGACCTTCAGTTGGTGGATGAGACCCACTCACATTAGGGGAGACTGTCTATTTGACTCAGTCTATCAACTAAAAAGTTCAACTTATCCAAAAACTGTCTCTCAGGAACGTCCAAAGTAATGTTTGACCAAATATCTACATACCTCATAGTCCAGTCATGTTGAGATATTAATTATCCATTGCACCTACAAAGAAAGAAGGTGTATAAGGGAAAAGTATAATTCAATTTATAGAAAGCTGCATGCAAAACATCTACCAAAATTAAGGAAAAGTATCCATTTCCTTCTCTGTTTCCAAGTTTTTTAAATGCATTGCACGTGGAAATTTTGGAAATCTGTTCAGCCTCTCGATATCATGTATGAAGAAATTGTGATTCACAGAAATGACTTGTCCATGATCATATATCTCCTTAATCCTAAAGCCAGAATTCAAGCCAAAACCTTAGTTTTAGTATTCTTTCTAATGGTACACTGATACGATGGCCCCCTTGTCACCTGTGTGCATGATATAGAAGCTGGATGAAGTTCAAAGTTTTGAGAATGCATCGGTAGATGCATTCGTGATTCATGAATGTTGTGGGCACATTTACATCTGTGCTGGTACTGCTTCTCACTGAGATCCCCAAGCACTTTGTGCAAAGTGACTGAGCTATGTGTCGTTTGGAGTTAATTAAAAAACATATCGTTCTGCATCCCCTCATATGAAATTCTGAACAAAACAAAAATAGACCTTTGACACTGCCTGTCAAAGTATAGAGTGTGATAAGATGTGTGTACAGGCATGGGGCCAGAATGGACTATTCATTTTCAAGTTTTGGTCACTGAGACGTCTCTTCTAGGCTACTGAGCTTGGAAAAGCATTGATTTCTTCCTTCATCTGCAGATGTCAAATACCTTTGCTACATCCCCTAGTGTGTTTGTGGAGGTGCAGTCTTGGGTTATCAATACTTTCTCATATTTCTAGAACTGTTGAAGAATTCAAGCAAATATTTATATGAAGACATTCACATTTTCAGATGTTTTGTAAAAGTAATACCAAACCTGCTTGAAGGAACTGGTGGCAAGATGCTTTCTTTGCCTTAATGAAACACCTTCAAAATTTCCACAAGTCCCCTAAAATAGATCATAATGAATTCGTTGTTACAAATTCTCTCAGGACAGTGTGGCACAGTTTTACAAGTGAGCTACTGGAAAAAGAATCTGGCAGGGGGTGGGGGGAGAGCAGGGAGTCTGGAAGGAAGTGAGTTTAAACACTGCTTCTGCTGGCACGCTCCGTGTTTAAGGCTCAGCTTCTGTACCAGGGAAGGAAGAATCGGGGTTAGATATTTGCAAGTCCAGGAGGGAAGGCCGCAAGCCCGTCTAGCAGCTGGAGCGTGTTGTGGTAGCTGCTTTCCTGTGTAAGCTGATTTACTTGTTTAAGGTCTGACCTCATCATCCTGTCGGTATGGGTTCCCACCTACACTGTTCGCTGCAGCTTTACAGCTAGAAAGCTGGAAGTATTTATTCACTGTGGAGCACGGGCAGCAGGCGGCGGGGGAGGGAGGGAAACAAGAAAGGCTGCTCTAACGCCCCTGTGCTTTTGTTAGTTCAACAGAAGAGGCAGAGCAACAAGAGATAACAAAGGCTCCGTTTCCTTTCTGTGAGAGAAGGCTTTTGTCTTTCCTCCCGCAACGATGTCAATGTCTGGCAAGAAAGAGTTTGATGTGAAACAGATCCTACGGCTGCGCTGGAGGTGGTTTAGTCATCCTTCTCCGGGCTCTCCCAACACTGGAAACTGCCTTCAGCAGGAAGGATATGAGCATAGACGGACCCCGGTTCAGGGCAGGTTGAAGAACCACTCTCGGGACAGGAACGGACTGAAGAAAAGCAACAGTCCGGTCCACAACAACTCACTGGCACCCGTGCCAGGACCGGCCCCTGCCCACCAGAGCCCTCTTCAGAATTGGCATCCACAGAACCTGCTAGAACATCTTGGAGCCAATGAAGATACTCCTAAAGCTGCTCCAGAGGAGAATTTTTTCCAAAGGGCTTGTGAGAAACCCTCACAAGATTTGGACATGATGGCTGATGACAGTCCAGAAGATTCCCCAGCAAGGTAGGAATTTTCCTTGGCGTAACTCAAAGTCGCAGTCTAGGTTAGCTCATGCTGGAAAACTCTCATTTAGTGCTTCGACAAAAGAGTTCTTCTAATCTGTATGCAGCCAATCAGGGGCTCCACAAAACCCCCTCCTCTAAGTCCATAAAGAAAACAGTGATACTACATTTACATAATTAATGGGCAATATGTTTTAGGGTTGTAGTTTTACTTTTCCTATTGCCTTCTGATTCCGTGAAGAATCCTGCTTCAGTTCTAAGAGACATTTGTTAGAAATATAACTTTTTTGAAAATATCCTCTGTAGGCTGTATATCCAAATAGTTGTGATTCTTTCCCCAAGTGTGATGAATCACATGGAACTCTTTATACTTTGTGAGTTATACCAACTCTGACAAAAATAAAAGTTCTGCTTGCTCAGCACATCCTTATCGATTCCCGTAGCACATCTTTGTTGCATTGACGATTGATAAATGCTATTTTCCTGTGAGAACATGCAACAGCCTCCTTTGACATTTCACATTCATCTCAAGTTGCATTAGTTTCAGAGCTAGTTTGCAATCCTAAAAATATCTTACATAAAACAGGTAATAAATAATGTGCTGTTCACAGCAGAGAGATCTGAAAGCAGGAAAGAGAATATTCAGCTATTTCAGGACATTGAATGGAACAAGAAATAATTTGAAAAAGTACAATTTCAGTATAGTTTACAAAATATTTGACTTTTTCTTTATTGTTTGGGTGACAGAAATTTATGTTCCCTCCTCTAATATAGTCCAATATAACTTAACCTAGGATACCTTCATTTTTAAAGTGTTTTATTGTAAGATTTTGTTTCCTTAACATGTTATAGACCCAAGAAATGATTTTGGCAACATAGTTAAATGGTAAAAGAGCTTTAGTATGTTTGAAATTGTATAACAGTTTGGCATGAAGCTATGTTTATTTGGAAATCTGAGTGTTTGATCATTGTGTCTCTGCAGAAGTTCAGAGGAAAAGAGCTGGCACATCTGCTTCTACATCTAAGTTTTCCCAATATATCTTCCTGACAGTACCTTTCTTTCATAAATCCAGAATATAATACCAGTAGAAAAAACATGACAACCTTATAGCAAAAGACAAACGAACTGTGCAAAAGGATGGCTTTATAGGACCTCAGTCTTCTTGTTGAAATGTAAAGATGCAAAAGAGTTTGCGAAATGAGAAAGTGTGCATGCATGGATCTTCCTAAATATTTTTGTGTTTACTGAAAAATACTATAGAACTGTTGGGATTGCAGGTTGTTTATTTAGTACCACTAATTGGACTTTCAAAGCAATATATAATCCACACTTTCAGATTTAACAGGCCTTCGAATGATCTCTTCTCACCATGAACCTCAATTTTTAAAACTGCCAAATTTGGAGGTTGAGATTAAACACATTTGACTCTCTTGTAGAGAAATGAGAATTACACACTCTGACCTCTCAATAAAAGTCTTTGAAGGTCTCCAATTTGATTTTGCAGCACGAGAACATATTTATAACAAATTAGTTGCTAACATTAAATGCTGGCTAAAATGTCAAATATAAAATGTTACCAAATAATACTTATTTTTTTTTGATTTCTGATACTTTTCCTGTTCTAAAGAAATGTTCTGTTAATTATCCTATGGCTAAAGTGGAAAGTTGACATTTTTTAAAATAAAAATGAAGTGGTTTTATAGTGTGCCAAGGATATTTTAGGCAGAAGAGAGGGGGTGAGTTAAGGATCATATTAATTGAAATAGGATGACATTCCTTCATCATTGGCCATTTGGAATGCTACCTTGGTTAAGGAGAGTTCAAGAAACAGCCTTCTAATGCCCAGCTTCTCTGCCGCCTCTCTTCTTCAACAAGATACGGGCACAGGAGGAAAGAATCCTGATGCCTTGGCAGCAGCCTTCCATCCCCTCAATAGAAATCTTGTAGTTAAAACCAAGCAGACAAAAATGGCGGTCAAAGCAAAGGGGTGATCTTTAAGCCACTGTGGTTTCTAGAAATAGTGCACGAAATGAATATAGAAGGGACTAAATTACCAACATTCAATATAACTGAATAGCCTGCAGTTATTTCTAAAATAGATAGTGAAGACAAGTTATTAAAGTTACATTAATATATCAGTTTGGGGATTTACAAACCCAAATGCATTCTTCAGTCACTTAATGTAAGTATATGTACTTCATGTAAGAACATGTCTGTATTATGACCCCACATTGTGGGTATGCTTTTATCAGTATGCCTGTCATCAGGGACGTGGGCTCCTGATAATTTTCTTTGTGCCTTTTTCATCTACTCAACTCTGCATCTTTACTTCCCTATAACTCCCCCTTGTTCAGTGTCCTTTTGTTTCTTTATTTCAGCCCTAGCATTCCAAAAACCAGAACAAAGATTTTAACAATGTATTATGGTCATGCTTCTTGTATGACAGAACATTTAAGTATGATATTTTATATATAAATTACTTTTTAACTGCTCATAAAGAAATGATTACATAAGTACCCAGGAGCATACCAAACTGTTACACTGCGTGTGTTAAGGCAAATGTAATTATCTCCTTATTGTGCTTGAGAACATTATATAGAATGCTGATAAGCTATGTGTGGGCTGAGGCAACGTGCTCCAGGACAAAGCTGGTTCTTTGGGCTTTTAGTTTTAAGAAGTTGATAGGATTAGAGGTCAAACCTTCATCCTACTTGTTGGGGCTTCAAGTTTCTGCATAACCTACCAATTGTACAATATGCAAGTTTGCATATCTTTGCCAGTGTTGCGCTGTCAGGTAATAATTTAAATTCCCTCTCCACTTAAGTTTTTTTCCTGTTTTCAAGTGAGGCTTGCCCAGAAAAAAATAGGGTAGCTATCATTATATATTTTGATATGCCAAAGAAGGAGGAAATGGATGAATAAAATTCAGGATTTATTAATAATTCATTTCACAAACATTGAACACCAGTTGTGTGTCAAGAAGACTTCTAGATGCTGGGAATAAAATGAAGTCAAAACAGAATATGCTTTCATGGAGGAGGAGGCATGAAAAATAAAGCAGCCCCAGCCAGATAGCTCAATTAGTTAGAGCATGGTCCCAGTATGTCAAGGTTGTAGGTTCGATCCCTGGTCAGGCACATACAAGAATCAACCAATGAATGCATAACTAAGTAGGGCAGCAAATTGGTGTTTCTCGCTCTCTCTCAAATGAGTAAAAATTTGAGTTAATAAATAAACCAAACATTACAGTTAAGTAGTTATAAGTAGCAATATTAAGGAAAAAAACAAAAGGAAGTTAAGGAGGGACACTCCTTCAGACAGCAAAGATTTTTCAAACAAGGTAACATTTGAGCAGAGATCTAAGTGAAGTGAGGGAAAAAGCCCTGAGCAGGTCTGATTCAAGAATTGGAAACAAGTGAGAAGTCATTACTGCCATCGGTCTTTTTCTTTTCAAATCAGTGTCACATGACCCCACAGAATTCGTTGATTGATGTTCAAAACCTCCTTAAATGGTGAACTCAAAAATGCACCTTGACCTGTTCACTACAGTGATTTCAAGGTTACATGTCTGTTCTAGGGATGCAGAAATGACCTTGCAGCCATTCAGTAACCAACATGCCATTGTGTCCTAGGAGGACCTGGCTCTTCAGCGAACAGACCATTGGCCTCAGGTACAGAGGCCCGAGCACTTGGGTGTCTTTGCTTTTTTAGCAAAACTATCTACATAGGGCCACATGTATTGTACCTCTTCATCCTCCACACAAATCTATCTGTGATGTGGAATATTCTTCGGAAATATTTATCCATAAGGGAAATTCTAGATCTTAAACAGTGACACTTATTGTAAACAATCTTCCTCACAGAGTAGGAAGTAAGCTGTGTGTGTATTTACTGGGAGAGCTTTCCAGAAAGAGTCCTAGATGGGAGTGTGTTACATGTTCAATACAAAGACGCCAGTGCTGCGGGAGTAGAGTCCTCAGTGAGGGGAAAGTGGTAGGAGATGGTTTTAGAAAAGCAACAACAGTAAAACAATAGTCATACAACATTAAAAATGATAAGTTCCTTTTGTAGACACTTACTATGTGCTTCCTAAGCACCTTAACTATATTTGGGGGGGTTTTGCAAAGAAAATACTTGAATATGAATATTGTACCCTCATCTGCAAATGAAATTACTCTGGATATTACATTGTAAGATATGTGTTGTTCCTTATCTTCTTAGAGTACCGAAATAATGTGCTTTTCTGAAGTTCATTGCTAAACCAACTTTATTCAGTTTTACACAGCATTATTAAGTAAAAACTATCAGTTCAAGGGAAGAAAAAAGGAAGAATCTACAATTTTACTGTTGTCTGTAGCAGTTTAACATTAAATCCCTTCATCTGGTTTAAGAGATACCATACAAAAATACACAATTCAACTGCTTTACTAAATTTAGAGCATTTTAACAAATAATTTAAATATTATGCAATCATTTCTAACTTTTCAAATTTTTTTCTATTTCACATGTTTTTACTGAATATATTGGGGTGACATTCATTAACAAAATTATGTAGGTTTTGGGTATACAATTTATGACACATCATCTGTATCTTGAATTGTGTGTTCACAACCCAAAACATGTACCCTTCTTAAGAGGGTACCATCTTCTACCTTTCCCCACCCCATTTTCCCTCTGGTAATCACCCTACAGTTGTCTGTGTCTGAGGCTTTCTTTTCACTTTTTGCTTAATGCCAGCACCTTTTTTCCCCCAATCTCCCACCATTTGCCATCTGAGAGCTGTCAGTCTGTTCTCTGTATCTATGCGTCTGTTTCTGTTTTGTTCATCAGCTTATCTTGCTCATTAGATTTCACATATCAGTGAAATCTTATGGTACTTGTCTGTCTTTGTTTGACTGGCTTATTTCATTACCATAATGTTCTCCAGTTCCATCCATGCTGTCACTAGGGTTAAGAGTTCCTTTTTTTTTTTTTTTACTGCCACTTAGTATTCCATTGTG